GGTCGAACAATTTCATAAATCTTACTCCTCTGTAATTGTAATTTCTTCTAAAAGTTCATTGCTTCAAATATTGTATACAACTTTTTATTACATATCAAACTTTTCGCAAAGATCTTACGGCTCATACAACCTTAAAAAATTCCCGTTTGTCTTGTAAACTACCTTCATTTGACTAACAGATGAAGTATTTTAACAATTCCTAGCCGTTCTTAAACATTTATAAATAATAAAAACACAGAATTATTCAGATTTCTCGCGTAAATTAAAAGTCTTATTAAATTACTTTTAATCTCGCTTCCACCATATTCGACAGGTATAAATTAATTTTTACACTGTGTGAAGTGAAGTAATGCAAGAGGAGAGAAAGAAGGCTGAGATTTTTAGAAGGGTAGCAAGAAACAGTTTTCCTTATAGCGTCATAACTCACGGTTATCTTATTATACTTATTAATGAAATCGCGGCTGAACACAGTGTGGGCATGAATTTTGCAAATTCCCCGGCGTCGCAGGACGAGCATCGAACTTTAATTCGACGGCCAGTAAAAGCAGGGACGGAACTTAGGTTACCGCGTGAAAAATTAACGAAACTCCGCGATCCGTGGGACATCACGAATTTCACTGTTCCCTTTCCTGGCAGCGGGGAAGAAAAAGTTTTTACGGCCGAAACCACGGTACGTCGCTGTACTTTCCGCGAGGAGATAAAAGGGGAAATAAAGCTTGCACCGTAGCGTATAGCGCGAAATATCGCTACGATTAATATTAAAAAGCAGGAATGGTAGTTGAACATCGCACAACGACGAACGAACGCTTTGTTCTCTCTGCTCAACTGACTATCGTAGTTCCTGCGGCTATCCCTCTTGCAATGCGATTGTTCCAAACAATCTGACAATTACTATCGTAGCTCTCATTCCCTAAAAAAAAAAAAAAAAAGTAGAAATTTTGATAGTTTCTTTGGAATTATTTATTTATAGCACCAGTTAAATCTGGCGAACATTTCGTTCTTGTAGTCCTGCGATTTATTCTAATTTTACTGCTTCTTCTTCTTCCTCTATTTCTTCTTCTATTACTATCGCTGGTCAGAAAAATCCGAATATGTACTACTCGTTCTCATTAGTTTCGAACTTCTCTCTTTCTCTCCCACTCTCTCTTTCTCTCTCTCTTTCTCTTTCTCCCTCTATCTGTGTATGAAATTATTCTCAAGTGGCACCGCTGTGAATACCACTCTCGTAGTTACTGAAACTTACTTTGTATTAAATATAACGCAACCGTGCTAAGGCTGAAAAGGGGGTTAAATCGCGGAAGGAGCACGCACCACCGTTTCTCCCTTCGACCGTAATAAGAAACGTGCTAGGCGTCCCAGAAAAAGCTTCAATTGCAAGATAGCATTGAAATGAAAAACAGGAAAGTAACTGGGCGGCTGTCTCGCGAACAGCAAGAACGTTGCTCGATTATAAACGAAATTTAGTTCAACGGACGAAGGTCGAAGGAGGAAACGATATGAATCGGAGGTAGATCGATCGATTTTTGGATACACGACGAGAAACGTGAATGAAAACGAACGACGACGAGGCTGTTGAATAATTTGAAGGTAGAATTTGTTCGATCCGTGCATCTGTAAAAGTGCTTTTCGTTCCGAATGTGAAGAGAGCACGAGAGAATGCAAATAAGTTTTGCCAAACCATTCGATGCTTGTCTGAAATTCTACCTTCCGCTTCGAATAACTATTCTGCAACGACTGTATGATGTACTCGTGAAAAGATAATACAGTTTCTCCTACGTACAACGCTTGGCTCTAGCTCTGTCTACAAATATAAAACAAATAAGTCTATTTGACGACCAAATGACACTGTACTCGCATTTTTGAAACGTCCTCGAATTTCAGTTGAACGAAACGATACCGTTGTTGACCAACTCAACAGAATACTGTTCAATCGCTTCAGTCAATCAAAACCGTGCCACGTGCTAATCATTCTCTTTATAGTAACAGCACCCAGTAAGTCTGTCGCACATACCTGGCGATATTATCAGCTTTCCTGAACGAGAAAAAAAAAAAAACTGATACTGGCATGACGATCGTGTGTTCACGTAATTACTTTATCTGTCTGTTGCATCGTATACTTTAATCGTTAAGTGCATGAAACTGTTACCAGAATGTTGAAGCGCATGTTGTTGCTGCACGCGACAACCAAGCCGATATTCTTGGTGCAACGTTATAGTTAACGGAGAACACTCGTATAGTACGAGGAACCAGCAGCGGCGTAATTGCATTCCGTACTCGCATGCCGATGCGTTAGTTCGACGGTGGAGACGTTTCCCTTAGAGGATATCAACCGCTCGTTAATGAAACGATGTTCGACGCGATATTATTCGTTATTAAATCGCTTAATGTGTATTAACGCTTCGTCAAACGCTTTCGTCTGTGATTACAATGCTCCAACGTAATTCACGAATTAGCAGATGATTATATGGAACCTGAATCGACCGGTACGAAAAATCCAGGGGATGAATATTCCAAATTCAAATCATAATTAAAACATGCAAATGTCTTTAAAAAATTTTGTTACTCGTGTCAAAACTAGGCTTTCCATATCATCGTCTATTCTTCTGTGTATTATGTAGTAGTATATATGTATGTATACTGTGTAGAATAATTTTTAACCTCTGTGTGAATCCTAGCTTTTGTTCCTTATATAATAAAGACACGAACTTGCTTCACGATTCGCAGCTCTTTTACACTTTTACCTCTTCTCCCTTCGTTCTTCGCTTTTCTCTTTCTTTACTTCTCTCTCTCTCTCTCTCTCTCTCAGTATGTATACTGTGTAGAATAATTTTTAACCTCTGTGTGAATCCTAGCTTTTGTTCCTTATATAATAAAGACACGAACTTGCTTCACGATTCGCAGCTCTTTTACACTTTTACCTCTTCTCCCTTCGTTCTTCGCTTTTCTCTTTCTTTACTTCTCTCTCTCTCTCTCTCTCTCTCTCTCTCTCACCAAATTTCTCTCACTTAAGTTCTCTCCCTATCTTTACATTTCCCTCGTATCTGTGTATCTGTTTCTATTCGGAAAACGGAAAGGAAAAAGAAAACAATTTTTCCTAGCGGGGAACGCGGATTTTGCCCTCGGCAAAATAGAATAAGAGAAATCGAGGAAACGTGTGGATCGTGATCGTGTGGATCGACAGATCCAGGATCGAGAGTCCTCCATAGGTCCCTTTAGATCTAGATTCTTTTTAGATTGTTTCTAAACGAATCCCCATCACTGAATTGTTGAAACACCACCCATCAAAGTTTAGACAACCTCGACAACCTAGTAGAATTTTTACAAGAAGTTCAATAGAGAAACGTGCACGCACCATTGTAAATATTAATCGTACCTCATAAATGTATCGTGTTCTATAAATATTTCTGTGTAAATAATCTCAATGTCTACTCTCGATCCTCGATCGACATTTAAATGCTGAATTTTTAGTCCTAATCAAATAGTTGACATTGTTGGGGAAACGAAGGTGATCAGCGAGTGCAATGAAAGATGACGAGACTGTTCCACGAATTGAGAGCATTATAATTAATGATGATTAATCGGCAGTTGCAGCAAATTGTAGACTCTACAGTTGAATACAATGCCTATATGTATAGTACATGTATTTCGATTGATCGAATGAATATTAGAATGGCTGCAAATCTGTTTTACGTTTGAATCGTTGAAGTTGACAAGGCGGCAAAATCTTTCATCGCGGTGTGATCTATCGCTCGGTTCCCCGATCCATTTCCGTGACTAATCGCCCCACTTTCTCTCGCGTGTGTTCTCTATATCTATCTATCTACCGACCAACAACCACCCTCGCCCCCCACCGGAAAATCCAGGGACGTACTTCAATTGCATAATGTTCATGGTGGCGAGCAGCGTGGTACTGACGGTGCTGGTGCTCAATTTTCATCACAGATCGCCCGATCGCTACGCGATGCCCCAATGGGTAAGCCAATTACCACTAATTACTCCCGGTCTTGGTCTTAATCATTGAACTTAAAAACTAGCATTATAATCCGAGACCCTCGAACCGATTAAGGATCGAACCATTAAAATGTTACATGTCACATAAAAATTCTTAATTTAGTATAAATAATTCTTGAGTCATTCAACAATTCTAAAGATTGTATGAACCCTTACATAAAAATAATAACGAAGCATTGAAATTTTAAGTTATTACATTAATAAAGCATTGTACAAAATTGTAGAAATTTTGCGAGCCT